GAGTTCCTGGGTGCACCCACATGGATGCCATGGGTGCACCTATGCTTCGCACAGACAAACACAGACGATAATTGTCTGTGTCGCATATCGTCTGTGTTTGTCTGTGCGAATCATGGGTGCACCCATGGTAGTACCCATGTGGTGGCACCCTAGCATGGTCCACACATGTATACTCTCTCCATCTCTCTCTTATCATTGTTTCTATTCCTCTTCATCTCTATTCCCCTTTTCAATCTTCATCTCGATCTCATCTCTGGTTTCCTTTCTTCATCTCTGATTCTCTCTCCTCCCTCATTTCTCATCTTCAATATCTGATTTCCTTTCGTCTTCAATCTCCGATTCTCCTTTCTCTATCATCTCTCATCTTGGATTCCCCTTCTTCAATCTCCGATTCCCCTTTTTCTTTGATATCTGGATTCACTTCATCTTCAATTTCCGCTTCTCCTTCAATATTTAATCCACTTTCCTCTCATCTTCTAAGTTAATCTTTGTTGACATATGGATGTTGATCCTCTTCTACAACGAGCTGGAGCTACACGTCTTCTCTGATGCCTGCTAGTGATGGACGGCATCTAGATGTCTTCCATGGTCGGATTTCTTCAAACACGGAAAATCTTCTCAAGATTTAGATTTCCAACAACTAGATTTTTTAAACTTAGTTCTAAAATACTTTTCTCAATTTTTCTTTTTGTTTTTAATTTTAAAATGGATTTGGATTGGCCGGTGGATGGTTGGAGTTGGACGGTGGAGATTGTTGGGGATGACTGGATGATGATGGATTGGGAGGCTAGGTGGTGTGGCTTTGGACGGTGAGTCGGTGATTACCACAAGAAGACATGAAGGCCCAAGGACTTGCTAGTTAGACAAGGCCTAAGGGTATTTGTGTCTTTAGACACTTTGTATTGGTTATTGTGCCAAAGTGAAAGTGGACAAAAATTACGGGAAGGAGGAAGTATTAGGTAGATACTCCTTATTAATTGGGTACCATTCTACGTTTTGTCCTCTGTCTATTTTTCGTCTCCGTGCCGTTAGACAAGGACCAAACGTGGAATGATACTCAATCAATAATGACCATGAAAATAATACGGAGTATTTGATAAGATGGACTAAGGCTCTGTTCCGTTCAACTTATTTTTTCTGATCTGATCTGATTTTAGTAAGTTCTAATCTGGTCTGATTTGATTTGATTGGATCTGATCTGATTGAAAATTTTAATGATAATTCATATTATAATATAATCAATAATTTTTATTTTATGATTATTTTTTAATTAAATAAAATTAGTTAACTCATATATTAGAATACTTATTCATATTATAATGTAATAATATTTTTTATTTTATGATTTTGAATAATGGGAAGAAGCCGTTGGGAAAAATTAATTTATAGTGATAGATGGGTTAGGTTAAATTAAATTTGCTTGACCTTCAAACTCCAGTCTCTCTTGGAAATGTTTATTTTCTTAATTTGAATTTGAAGTCTACTTGAATAATTCTACCAGATCTGATTTCACATGTTTCTTTTTCAAAAATATAATTTAGCGTGTTCTTTCCGACGTCTATTAAAGATTACTTTCTCGGTTTTCTATTTAACTTGTTTCTAAAGTTTATTATTTTTTATTTTTAAGAAAACAATTGTGCTTTATATCATTTTATTTTAGTCTACATAAATTATAATCGCACAAAAAGTTTCATTTTCTTTCTTCTTATATTTTTAAAAGAGAAATTAAATTTATTTTTTGAAAGAATCCTATCAAGTAAAACAAGTAAAAAGTATGGAATTTAAAAGGTATGGAGTAATAAAGATATTGATAATGATAATGATGATACTAATAATAATAATTCTTGATTGGATGTGATCTGATTGAATCTAATATGATATAATTGGATCTGATCTGATCTGGTTGGATCTAATTAGATATGATCTGATCTGATTCGATCTGATTAGATCTGATTGGTTCTGATTTGATCTAGTCTGATTAGATTTGATCTGATCTGATTTTAGTAAGATTAAGAAAAAATAAGTTGAATAGAACGGGGCCTAAATATGGAAATTCCCCGTTATAAAGGACTATTTCGAGAATTTATTCTTTTTAAACCTGTTTTATTATAAAAAATTAACAGATAAGAAAAATGTATAACTATTGTTTATTTATAAAAAAAAATCAAAATTTGTACACCAAAAATAATAGTTTATCAAAAAATTCATTTTTTAATACGAGAATCTGTTTGAAATTGATAGGAATTAAAAAGAAATTCGAAGTTATTATCCGTTTTTAATAGCATAAGAGCTTCAAATTTTTATCTCCAACCATTAATAATTTGATTATAAAATACCACTATACAATGGCATTATGTCACAGTGCAAACTCGTATTTTGAGGGGAAAAAAATGAAATTCTTATTTTGAGGATCGATGTTATATTTACTCCTATTTTAGGTGATTTCAAATTACTTATTAATTTCTATATCTTCCAAGATAGTTCTCAATTAAAAAATGATTTTTTTGGTAAATTATTTGTAATGATAATTTTGAATTTTTATATACAAACTACAATCATATACTTTTCATATTTATTACTACCTTCATCCGTGAGTATTGATCCACTTTTGAATTTTTTGTCAAAATCGGCAAAATTTGACCACGAATTAAATAAAATTAATATCAGATATTGACAAAAAGTTATTTTTATTATATTAATTTCATAAAATATTTTTAAAATATTATTTTATTTAATAAATATACCATATATTTTTTTATTTAACTATAGGTCAAATATTAAAAATGGTTGACTGCAAAAAGTGAAAATTGGACAAAATATTCAAAGATGAATGTAGTACTTTAAATATTAAAAATGGTTTTAAAAAAAGTAAATTCTCTAAATAGTCCTTTATAACGGGGGAATTTCCATATTTAGTCCATATTATCAAATATTATTTTCGTGGTCCTTATTGATTGGGTAGCATTCCATGCTTGGTTCTTGTCAAATAGACGAAGGACTAAACGTGGAACGATACCCAATTAATAAGAACTGTCAACATAATATTTGATAAATGTGGACTAAATATGGAAAATCCCATTTATAAAGGACTATTTGAAGAATTTAACTCTTGATTTTTTGTAGTTAATCACAATTGATATTTGACTTAGAATTAAATACAAATTATATGGTATATTAATTAAATATATTATCTAATGTATATTAATTAGATAAAATAATATTTTGAAAATATTTTATGTAATAAATCTAATAAAACTATTTTTGTATCAATATCTAATACTCCATACTATTTTTATTTAATTTGGGATCAAAGTTTACCAATTGTGACAAAAAAAATTAAAAATAGACAAAATACTCTGAGACGGAGGAAATATTATTTATTTATACATGCTCCTATTCCATTTTGAGCTGATTTGCCCCAAATCCCACACCCAAATATTTGGTAATTTGGCCTTTTGCAGTCAATTAGAATCGATTTTTTACTTTAAAATGGGAGAAGTACAATCAGAACACTAATATATGCTTAAAATACCCAATATAGCATTGCTATGTGATATTGGAACTCGTGTGGATGCAATTCCAAATTTTTCCTTGCATTCTACACTGCCAAAAAATGTGTTTAAGTTGGTATACACTTCCAGAACATAGGCATAACACAATTCCGTCATACCCAATATAACATGTATCAACACTGCCAAAGCATGATCATTCCACATTGCCAAAAATGTGTTTAAGTTGGAATACGCTTCCAGAACATTGCATAGCACACTACGAGAAAGTGTAGTTAAGTATTGTGAACCATAACACACTGCCCAAAACATGGACATAATAGAAGGAATGAAATAACCTCCTAAAATTATGGATCTCAATATATATGGTAAATGAAATAATTAAAATACTGCATTATAATAAAATACTTCCACCGTCCACAAATAAACTTTACATTACGTGTTACGATGTTTGCCTGAAGTTTTTTCAAATCATTTTATATGAAAAATGGTGTAGAATTGAAAAATAAAAATTACATATAAAAAACTATATCAAAAGATCTACAAAACTAGATGTGACATGACTATATTATTTTATCAAATAGATGACGAAAATAGGCCAACAAAGTGAATAAAGTTTGACCCTGTGAATAGTGAACGTAAAGTTTATTTGTGGACGGAGGGAGTAGTATGATTGGAAGAGATCCACATCATAAATAGCCAAATGTGTGGAAAACAATAAAGAGTGTTTTATGTGTAATATTGGGAGTCTTAGAGTGTTACATAGGATGATTTCTATTAAAATTAAATATAAATTATATGGTATATTAATTACTTAAAATTTTCAAATATTTTGAAATGAACTTACTATGTTTTTTATAACAATTTACGTAGAAACGTATCCACTACTAGAATGCAGGCAGAAAAGAGACGGTAATTTTGTCTATTAATTGTATTGATCGTGAGACGAAAAAGAGACGAATCCATCAGTCCCATTAATTTCGTCTCTTTTCATTTGAGACGGGAATATTATGTCTCTTTTTGTTTGGGACAGAAATGAGACGACATAGAAATGAGACAGAATTTTGTCTCTTATGTGTATAACTTGGCTAGCCATCATTCAAAATTATTCATTTTAGAGACTAAAATGTGTCTCAAAATCTAAATATAAAGAAAAAAATTGCTGAGATTAATGACGTAAACCTAAACTAACTCATATATTAAGTAGTAAAAGAACAATTAATGCTTTTGGAACAAAATATTTTTTACATTTTTATTAGAATAAAGCAACCCAACAAAAAATTTCTTAAACAACCTTAATATTGTAACACATGTCCAATGTGATCTAAAACTTGCTACAAAAACATCAAATTTTTTTACGCATAAGTACACCAAAGAAATAACATTAAAAATCACATTTGCATCATGATCCAAAACATTCTAATTGCAGCAAACATACTTCCTCAAAACAATAGCAACAACTTCATTCTTCACCATGTCCAAGACTCCAAAACATCAAGTTCCTATTTATGACAGAGTCATCATTACTTGTGTGCTTATAGAGCTTTTATTCTTCATCTTCTTCTACATCTACCAAAAACAAGTATAAAATTGTTACCTGGTAAGTAAGATATGAAAGAAGTTGAATACTTGTTTTTTTTTAAAAAAAATGGAATCTACCTATGATCCAACTCATCATCATCTGAAGAGCATAATGAATCATCTGAATTATATGAGAAAAAACTTGAAATATGTCCGTGAATTAATTCACACCTTAAAGCTATTTGACCAGATAACGCACAACGGGGTTAAAGTAACTTCTTAATATAATTGGAAGAGGTTTTGGGATAGATAAAGATAGAAAGGCTTTTTGGGACGGAGGGAACATATAGAAATTCCTTCCTATTGTCCTTAGTTATATTATCTTTTTTTAAAGTCTAAATAAAAAACTACCCCAAAGTTCAAAAACCAAAATTAGCCATAACTGGATAACCCTGCAAAAGGTGTTGTGTGTGAATCGTTTTGATTATCGAAGCTAAGCTATTATGAGCTAGTGCAAGCCAACTATATATTGTATGCATCCTCTTCCCATGAATGTGACTCAAATACTGCCGGAAAAGAAAGCCGTTTCTTTGCAGAAGAACTAAATTCTCTATCAGGTGTGGAAGGCCTTTGCTGCTTGGGGGAACTCTGTGAGCGGGCCTTGGCGGACACGGTAGCGGCCATGTAATTCGGCACTACCCGAGGTGTCCTGGGAAAGTAGCTTGCTGATAGCGAGTTTGGGGTCTCGGGTGTCGGGTGATCATCGGGGGGGCTGACCGAGATGGGCTTGATGCTGCGTGGAGGAGTGCGGGAAGAGTGGACCGGGCATGAAAGGGCAGTGTCCATTTTGACTGTTCTGGTGAAAGGGGGAGGATCTCTTGGTTGATCAAGGGAAGTCCTTCTCATGATAATGCTTCTTTCATGTCGTCGTCCCTGCAGCTTGTCACAAAGCTCCTCATAGCTTACTCTGTCTTCTTCTTCCTTACTTGTGCTCAACATCTACTAAAAGACAATTTGGCATTACAAAAACAAAAAAATGATTGCATTGCCTTGTTGCAAAACTATGATTAGGTTTGAAGAAATCACCACAAATAGAAATAAACATAGCATTTATCCTGAATATAGAAGTTGTATATTTTATCCTTAAATAAGAGTTTGCACGGTGACATTATAGCATTCTATAGTGGCATCCCAGCATATTTTCTGGCATAATATATTGGCATTAGTGACTTTGTACTCCTATTTAGAAGATCAATAATATTGGGAAGTTCGTATTTTGGTACTTTCTTCATGTTTTAGTCTTACTTGAGTCCTTTTTTAGTGTATATCATGGATCCCCTTCTTCCCCTTCTGCTTACTCAGTGCCATGTCCCGCCTTCCCGTTGTCCTACCTAAGATGGCCTCTCCCAACTTGTCCTTTGGCATACCCACCAAACAGTCTTACCCTATACTCCCACCTAATCAAGTCTAGCTCCCCTTTTAAATTTACTTATTCTAAGTACATATACAACAACAACAACAACAACAACCCAGTTAAATCCCACAAAAGTAGGGTCTGGGGAGGGTGTGTGTACGCAGACCTTGCCCCTACTTGAAAGTAGAGAGGCTGTTTCCAAAGAGACCCCCGGCTCAACGTCGAAAGTTGCATTGCTTGACTAACTGCTACTTCATTAAATAAAGAAGCGCAGACAGTTTAGAGATCCATTTTGATTTATTCCATCACACCCCAAAGCCAAAAATGGTGAAATTTTGGCTCCATCAGAGATGATGGAAAATCTGAGTACATATACTCCCACCTAAATTAATGTGGTGGTGAAGTACGAAAAGGTTACATTAACACGTAATACGGTGACACTCTAGTGCAACTGGGTGTTTGGTGCACCTCTGGTGTTCGGTTTGCAAAATTGTACACATCCACCAACCACTCTCTAGAGGGTAAGTGGGGTTGGGGCAGGGATAGAATCCTCTATTTTTAAGAGAACCAGAGTTGTTCCACATGTGCTCCAAAAATAAAGTGCCTAGTGGTACAAGAGTGTCAATGGAATATACTCCAGGGTGTTAGATATCCATTGTTGCAAAGCTACTCAACAAGCTAAGGCTTCGTTCACATAGAGCTAGTGTTGTTTGAAAACCAGATAGAGTGCATAAAGATGAAATGAGGATGAAGGTAATTAAGAGATTAATTGCTCAGTGAGTAGTAATTGGTATGGTAAATTAACTCACTCACCGTGGGGGATCTTGGGTCGGGTGACCAATGATGTTGATAATAATGATTCATTCTCCCCTCACACGACAGTCTTCTTCTTCGCCGGTCGCACACCTGAGTCTGCACTCTCACCAGCGACTGCATACACTGTAGAGTCATCTTTGCCCGCCTCCGCACATTATGCCCTCTTACCACCGCCTGCAGCATCACCACCCCCTTCAGTGCTCCAAGTGCTTTTCTCCCCTACACCACAATAATAATGCCCATTTACAAGAAATTCCAAAAAAACTGGCCTGGAAAAGAAACTAGAAAAATTGGAAAGAATCGGAAGTAACAAAAAAAACTGAAATAATTGAAAGAAATTAGAAAAAATTAAAAAAAAATATATTGAGTTATGAAGGTTTTTTACAATTACTTTTATAATGTTCTTAAAATTTAAAGTTATTTTTGTTTGAAAAAATTAACATATAATGCATTGGTACGTCTCAAATTAACAACTTTTTTTTCCGAAAAAAGTAATTTTTTTTGAGAACTTCAAAAAAATGAGGAACAAAATAAGAAACAAAATAATACAAAAATTAAAATGAATATCCTTTTCGGACATCTCAATTTTAAGGATTTTTTTAGGCGTGTCCAAAAATTGTTTTTTTGTAGAAGAGTCTTTTTTGTGTATTTTAATTTTTTCATTTCGTTTTTATATATATTTGTTTTTTATTCTGGGTTTTTTTTGAACTTACCAAAAAATTATTCTAAGTAACAAAAAGCGATAATGTTTAATTTGAGATAAATATAATGTATTTTAATTTTATTTTTATATTTATTTCAAACACAAGAATTTTAAAATTTTTAAAACATTATAAAAAATTGAAAAGAAATTTTAAAAAAATCTAGGAAAAGGAAATGGAAGGAAAAAACAAAAATAATAAACGAAAAATAAGAAATGAGCACGAGTGCCCCATATGGTTTAGAAATTATGCGCCAATGCCGCCTCTTCGCCGGAAAATGGCCGGAAAATGATCGTAGGGGTGTGGATGCAATATTTTGAAACCACGGAGACTTTAGAAACAAGTTTTGAAAACAGTAAGGATATTGATATCAATTATCCAAATCACAGAGGCATGAGAGCTATTAGGCATATTATTGTGTGGCAATTATTAATTACAGAGCTATTAGGCATATTATTGTGTGGCAATTATTAATTACATAGCTATTAGGCATATTATTGTGTGGCAATTATTAATTAATTACCAAGTATCCTCTAAAAGCGGTCTGGATGCAAGTAGCAGCCCGTTGCTCTTTGACGAGAAGGAAAGGCCTGGTGAGGCGAATCATCTCCACCGCCGCTTGTGCCGTTGCCGCCACGGCCTCCGCTGCTGCCGCCGTGGCCATGGCCATTGCCATTGTCTGTTTCTCGCGGCGAGACTCGCTTCTTCCCACTGCAACCTTGTTGGGGACATTTGTTTTCTCTGGCGGCCTTCGCGACATCCACCGGCGTTTCCCTGGCTTCTGCTGCTGCATATATAATTGAATCCATTAAAGATCGCTTAAACGGATGCCCAATTGAAAATATGTCAAATTAATAACGGCGATATGTATGTAATGGACATATATATGTATTGAACCTTTTCTTCTTCTTCTTCTTCTTCTTCTTCTTCTTCTTCTTCTTGTTGTTGTTCGTAATCGGATTCGAAGTCTCTCCTTCGGCTGCTGCTTTTCTGGGTGTCCTTGTTGGGGGGTGATCTGAAGGCCTTTTTTAGCAAATGTAATAAGGAATACCCTCCACCGGACTTGCCCATTCGGAGCTTTGATTTCCAGTTCAAGCCACCATGAAAACAGAACGTCTGCTTGTGTAGAGTTGTTAGTGATGATGATAGATGATGGATAGTGGTATCCCACGGGAGTGGAACACAACTTTGCAGAGTGTAACGTTAGTAAAGCTGGTGATGAAGACTGACTGAAGAGATACTCCATAGTCCGTATATACTTTGAGATGGAAATCGTATCCAAGACACTCTTAGGGGAACCCCACTTCCAATATACTCACTCCTTACCATAGTTACTAATATAGTCCCGTACTAAAATTAACTTCCCAATTTAAATTTTGAGGTCAAACTTTTTTAAACTTTGATCGTATATTACGGAAATAATACATTGAATTTTTATATAAATTTATTAGCAGTATATATTCATTTTGAAACATAGTTTTGAAATCTATAATTTTTATAAAATATGTTTATATAAAAATTGAGATATTGATGGTCAAAGTGTCGCATTGGAGACCGTTAAAAATCAAATGAGAAGTTAATTTTAGGACGGAGGGAGTATTAGAATATGAATAACTCTTCATGTGCCACAAACACAAGCTGGATCTTTTGGTTGAGTTGATTCCTTGAAAGAATATATTAATAGCCACTTCTTTAGGCTTGAAATTTTACCTTCGAGTTTCTTCCAACTATTCTCATTTTACTTTTTCTACTCTCCAACCAATTACTCTAAAAATGATATATTTTTAATGTTATTATTATTATTATTACAACTATTATGTTTAAAACTATAATTTATAAATTATTTTTTTCATCTCACAAATTTTACGATTTACACTCATTGTTTTTTTCTTCAACTTTTTAATATGAATAAGACAATTTTTTCTATATTAATCTAAATGATAAAAAAGGAAAACATCAATATGTTAAAATATATTTAAAAAATTAAGGATAAAATAGTGACATAATTTTTTTTATTAATCTAACTTTATATAAGACCTCTCACCTTTCCCTTTATTGCTTAAAATTTGCTCATTTTTCTAATTTTTATAAAAAAAAATTGTAAGTCAAAATAGTTTATAGAAGAAGATTAAAATAGGAGTAAAACAAAAAAAAATGTAAAAAAAAGTTCCATGTCTTTATTCCAAAAATAACACTTCAATGAAAATAAAATGTCAATCATGAAAGAAAAAATAAGTTTGATTACATTATGTGATATGTCTAATATTTAAAACAAAATCTTGTAATATATAAATTATAATTACAAATATAGTATTTATAATAAATACTGCATAAATAAATTGAGGTGCAACGTAAACACAAAAAATTTTTAAAATTTAATATTTTTATATTTATGCTAACTTTATATTATAATTATTTTTTTTGTAAAACTAGTTTTTTGTATTTGAAAAATAACAATACTTTTTTGTACCTTAAAGTCATTCATTAAGATAACGTGATGATGATGATAATTATGATGATGATGATGATGATGATGATAATAATAATAATAATAATAATAATAATAATAATTTATAACAACAAAAAGTTAAAATAAATTTTTTAAAAGTTTTTTAGGTTTTCCAATTTTTTGATGTTTTTCTAGTTTCTTCTAATTTTTCCAGTTTCTTCGAGTTCCATCTAGTTTTTTCCAGTTCCTTCCAATTTTTTCCAGTTTCTTCAAGTTTTTTCCATTTCTTCCAGTTCCTTTCGGTTTTTTCCAGTTTTTTCCAACATCCAACTCTTTTTTTCCAATCCTAAAAGACATGCTCTTAATGTATACCAAGATAAAAATAGATGCACAGAAACATTTACTCTGTGGGTACACTTGTATCCCCCAAGTGGGAGCATTTTTTATCCAAGAATAGTTCTCTTAACTTTGGCATTCGTTTAAGTATTAAGAAAAAAAAAGATAAAAAAACAAAAAATTTAACAATAAAACAAACAAATAAGATCGAAAAAACAAAAAAACAAAAAAATGTTTAAAAGGAAAGAGAAAAAGAGGGAGCTCAAGAAGAGAGTGCGGGGGAATGCCGGAAAAAAGAGGAAAAGAAGGGGGGCAGGATGGGGCTGGGAGGGGTAGGGGTGGGGTGAGGGGAGCTTTGAAGAAGAAGAATAAAAGGGGTGAAAGAATAACAAAAAGAAAAGAGGTGAAAGAAGAAGAAGGCAAAGAAGGGGTGGGAGAGGGAAAAGAAGAAAAAGAAACGGGTCAATTTAAAAATTATAAAATACAAAAAATTAAAATTTGGCCCAAATGACCTGCTGGTTACCTGAAAACCAGCTTCGGTTACCATTTGTGAAAAGTTTTCAAAGTTCAGGAACTCTTTTGAAAGGTTTTGAAGGTTAGGTACCGAATCGAAACTTTCGTGAAAGTTGAGGTGCCATTTTTGAAATTTAACCCAAAAAGATACTTTCTAACTCGGTATTTTCTCAAATCAGTTCATTTTTAAAATAAAATATTAATTATAGAAAAGAATTTTAAATTTTAAAGGATGGCAATATAATACTTAAAACTATGAATACAATTTTATAAATTTAAAAGTAAATGTTTTCGATTATTTATAATTATTTTGAAGAATAGCATATAAATAAAATGTTTAATAATCATTAAAGAAATCACACTAAATAGGAGTAAAACATAAAAGAAGTATCATAATACGAGCTATTTCTCTATGTTTTACTCCTTTTTAGGGTGTTTTTTTCAATGTTTATTAATTATTTTGTTTACATGATATTCTTTTAATAATTGTAAATAATCTTAAACGTTACTTTTGAATTTATAAAATTATATTTATAGTTTTTAGTATTATGTTATCATCCTATAAAATTTAAAATATGTTTTCATAATTAATGTATACTTATTTCAAAATTGGATCAATTTAAGAAAATACTCGGTAAGAGTAAATTAAGGACTAACTAACGTCATTTTAACGACCATTAGTTGGGGGGCTGAACTGAGCATTATTCTAAATTACCGAGTACTATTTCGAGAATTAGTTAGTTTTGAGGACTAATTGAGAAAACACACTTATTGAGTATCATTCAACTATTCAAGGAATTTACTCTAAGAATATTCTATTTGTTTTTTTATATATAATAGCCGATATTCCTAATAGCCGTTAGTGTGTGCTTAATTGCCGCTACTGAACGAGCGTACATAACAGCCAATTTCCCTAACAACCACGATTCTTTATCTCTGATCTCTCTTGGTAAAAAAACATTTGCATGATTGAAAAATTAAAATGGAAAATTACATATGTGAGTGTCTGAGAGCATAGAAAATGAGAAAGAAACATATAATGGTTCACAAGGAGAAAAAAGAAACTTCACATTCTCATTCTAATTGCCAATATCATTCCTAGAACAAACTCAATAAATATAATCTAAAGTTTGTTTGCCATGCAACGAAAATCTGCATCCATGAGTGGATCCAACAAGGAGAATATGTGGGCAGCTGACACTAGTAAAAAAATTAGTTACAATTTTGTTTGGTTTGTACTACGTAAAAAAAATCTGTCACAGTAAATAAAATAAGAAATATAATTTATATTATGTTTTTTTATATTATGTTTTTTCTATTTTAATAAAATATTTTCTTTAACTTATTTGAATACTTGTTTGAAAATAAATTTATTCATTTTTTATCGTCATGAATAGCCTTAAAACAAATGAGAGTGCTGCCTTACTATAACCTTACCCCTAGTCACCATTAATGTTTTTTTGGATCCTCCATTGTCTACCTCATACCAAATACATGTGCTCCAAGCTACTACTCATACCAATGATTTGCTTGTGAAAGATATTAGAAATATTAGGGATAAGAGAATAAATTATTACTCCGTATTAGTTATTTTCACATTCTATTAATTAGGTTTTTTTTATATATTCCATATATATAGAGATAGAATCTTTATTACTCCCTTTGGTCCTAAAAACCTTTCTTGTTTTGACTTTTTTGGTCAAACTATGACACTCTTTGACCATAAATTATTTATGAGAAAAGTATATTTAATTATAAAATAAATTTAATATAATTGAGTTCATCTTAGAGTATAGTTTTGATATATCAATTTTTTATATCAGTTATTTATATAGATTATGTTTAATTTATAGTCAAAGAGTGTCATAGTTTGATCAAAAAAAGTACAAACAGGAAAGGTTTATAGAATCGGATGGAGTATTTAATAAGATTAAATTATTATGAAATTGAGAATATATGAATAGATACCGAAATCGAGCAGAAGCTTATCAATCACACCACAAGATCTGTGTGATAAACTCAAACAGCACACAGTTTGTTATAGCACGGGTTGAAATGAATGCAGCAATAGACATTGTATAACATCTTTGTCACAACAATTACAAAAAGGAAAACAAACAACACATAAAAATGTGTACGCGGTTCGCAGCAATTTCTCATACATCTGCGAGGCCGGCCAACGTCCGTGTAACAAACCTTCACTAGATCACTGTAGAGTTTACACTTTCAATAAACATTATATTAGACTCTATCTAAGTGTTGATAGAAAACCTCTTACAGGTGATGCAACAGCAAACACGGTTTGTGTTCAACTTCCTGGCTAGTTACAACTTCTCCAAGATCTTCTTTGAGGACGTGCTAGCATCCTATCTTCAGAGTATCAAGATTCACCGTCTTGAGACTTATATGGACCTACGATTCATATATGGGTGCAAGTCACCATGATCATCAGGCCCGCCCAATGGAGAGTTCATGGTGTTCTTTTGCACAGGGCCTCCCAATTTAGGGGGCCCATCACTTATATGCTCAATTCATTTAAATGTGTTAATATTTCATTCCTGTTAAAAGATTTGATCTTTTTTGCATTGTTTTTTGTTATTTCAGAGCTAATTGTTTTCTCTTTTCATTTTGTTACTTAAAAATTAGATCTTTCAGTTATAAAAATTGATTTTGTATATATAATTAATTGAATTATTAATTTTAATTTTTAGTTTTTTTGTCAAGAAGTGAATTGACTTTTTTTGGAACTTGAATTCATTCTTAAAAAAATGTTTGGTTTATAACAACTATTTCAGTTCTAAAATTCTGATATGTAAGCTGATTTTCAAATCACAAGTAAATCATTTCTTGTAAAAAAAAGAATCATTTTTTATTTTGCTTTTTTACTTTAAAATTCCATTCTTCTTACAAGTAAATTTATCATGTGGAACTTTACCTTAGTCTTATTTTTCAAAATTAATTTGAGTCATCCTCTTTTGAAAAAAATGAAATTAATTATATTATGTTTAATGAAATAATTAATATTAGGGAGTAGTATTTTTGCTTTATCAAAATATCTAATTTTAACATAAAATTTGGGACCTAAATTATAAAATTGCACAAGGCCAATGATTGGGCGGCCCTGATGATCATTAGATCTATTTCAACGTAACCTCCACAACACTTGGCATAAAATGAGTCTGATTAGAACTTGTGTAGTCTGTAAGGTAGTTCTCACTTTTTCTCTTCGTGAATAATTGCTCTCTCTCTCTTTGTTTGTACCACAACAACAAAGTCTGCAAAATATATAAGCTACAGTATAACCCCAGTTGAGCCCCAATCAAAGTCTGCCTTTTGTGAAGCCTTTTGCGCAATATACGCGCGAGATTAGAGTTCCACGTGTTCTACCGAATCAGGCTGGACTCTTTTAAGGATATAGTTCTTCTTGTGGATGATATATAGAAGACTAAATAAAGTGGACTCTCAGCAAATCATTTACGTTGGAGAGTATTACACAGGCGTTGAGATTCCATGTATCAAGATGACAAACAAGATGCTACAACCCTAGCTATAACAACCAAAACAGCTACTTACAAACACATGTCTAGACTCTACATGCTAGTTTGTCAATAATAATACCAACAGAACTCATACAACTTGTTTACATTAGGACATAGAGAACAATCCAAGGAATTAACAGATACTCTACATTATAATATGATTACATTATAATATGGTTATTAGTGCAAAAAAATTATGGAAGATTATGAAATTGAATCATTCATCAACACCCTTCTCGAGATAACCAAAAGCTGCAAAGCTAAGAGGAAATATACGAATACGATGCTCTGATTGCTCTCCCGTTTTCCACTTTTTCTTTTAACTCTACACTATATATACAGCATTATATACTCCTTTTACTTTTGTGGTTCCCAGCAAAGCACATTTGACCAAGTTCGGTTTCCTCCTTTTCCTTTGTTATATTAGCACAAGCTTTATTCGCTGGATAAGATTAAACAATTATGATAATACAAAAAATGATTCATAAATCTTTTAAAATCAAATACTTCAACTGTCATATTACATTGTCATCACATTTCCATCACACTTCTAACACATTCTTTTACGCTACACTGTTATTATACTCATATTTCGATCTTAAAAGATTTAGAACTCATATGTTTGGTATTTTCATATATTTTTACCACTCCTTTCCGTGGAAATTTCTTTTATTCAATTCACACTCCACTGCATATTTTTTAAATTTTATTTTTTTTCACATTTTTTACATTAATCTATGCCAAAGTATTTTTTTTTCCGAACTACTGAGTACATTTCGTGATATTTGTGTGGCTTAGGCTCATTTTTACTTTTTTCTTATTTTTTTACGCCGTAAATATACTCTTGTGATTATTTTAGTAGATAAAGTGTACAAAGCACAATTATAATTTGCATGATGTTGAATAGTTTATGTTTATTTTATCTTTTAATTAAAAAAATTAGGGTCCCCTTTATCTAACCCGGAAGAGGGGGCCCTGGAAGAAAGGTGCATTTTGGGCCTTGGAGAGGGCTCGAAACCATCCGACATGGTTAATTCTCCAATGTTGATCTGGCCCGGCCAGCAGCATTATCTTATTGGAAGACTAAGACACAGGTCTGGCCTGGCACGCTGGTTACTACACCGGTCTTGCTCAGTATAATAAAGAAAATATGTGACCTAGTCGAACTGGTACACTGGTCTCACACCAGTCTTACACATATTTTCCAATAAGCCTGAGCCCAATCGAATTGGGTACACCGATTGCACATCGGTTTCAGCAAAAAAGTGAGCAAAGCTCATATCGGGGACGCCCAATTCATTTAAGCCCTCAATCTGAGGCACTTTGATCGAAGATGGTCTTCGCGAGACATGAAGATATTTACATTAGTCAGCCGGGCTAACACTGATCTTCAACAAAGCTGCCGCATCGGGTTCAATTCTTACTAACTAAGGTCGTTGTCATCGGTATACTAATTTCGTCACGCATCGTTTGCTTGACTCGTATTAACACTGACCTCGACGAAATAACTTTTCGAAGCATCGTTGCTTTATCGAACTGACATTGCTCTTGTTACGATAATTATTCACGCGTATTTTAATCACCCTAACACCGAGCTCATCGGTAAAAATAATAATTTTTTGAGCACAGCATAGGCCGGTCAAAAAAAATGTTGTACATATTAATTTTTGCAGGAAAAACTTCTGATTAGAGAATTAATGAAGACTCGGAGGACTAGCAACCGATCAAGAATCCAAAGTATGAAGACTGAAGATGGCACTGGGAGGACTTGTTTACTTTTTTAAGTTGATGATTCTCACAACTTAAAAAAGTGGAGTACTTCTTGATGGGAAATAATACATGGCTCGACCCACATTTCCCAATTATTTACGAAGAACAGTCAAACCGGGCCTGTTTAATAAAATGAAGGAATAATAGAATATTTCTCCGTAGATGCTCCAGCTACTCCAATAAAAGGAGGGCTCTCCCTCAATGTTAGGGGAGACCAATTTCACTCATCTCCTGCCAGTTTTTCTTTCTAGCTATTTTTAGAGTATATTTTTCTTCTTCTTCAAGAGCTTCTAGCTCCACCATTAATGACTTCTAAGCCTAAATCATGTACCGTGTACACACCCCTGATATTAATAAAAATCCCCCGTTGGCAAGGTACCGCCAAAAAAGGCCCGTGGTTTTCTCCCGATTTGGGTTTCCACGTCAAAACCCCGTGTTTATATTTTGGTGTATTTTTTAGACTAGTTTATCGTTTTTGCCGTGCTAAAATGATATATTGGTCGATAATTTACACCATCAACATTGATGTTAAAAATAAGAATAAGTGTGAATTAAAACTTGCAATCTTTGGGTCATGGGTTAAGACATGTAAATTAAGAAACAAAAAAATGTAATTGATATTGAAGTTTTAATTAAAAAAATAAGAAAATGCAAGATTATCACATAAATATTACTCCCTCCGTCTCCGAGTATTTGTCCACTTTTGACTTTTTTCGGTTAAAACTGGTAAATTTTGACTTCAAATTAAATAAAAATGATATTAGATATTGATACAAAAAGAGTTTTATTAGATTTTTTATATCAAATATTTTCAAAATATTATTTTATTTAATTAAAATACAATATATATTTTATTTAATTATAGGTCAAAGATTGAAAACAGTTGACCGAAAAAAGTCAAAACTAGGCAAATACTCAGAGACGGAGGTAGTAGGAAATATAATTTGAGACTAAATTAGAGTGACCTAAAAAATATTTAAATGAAAAGAAGTGTGAAACAAACGAGGTTTAAATATTTTAATAAAAAAGAAATATTTTTTTAAAAAATAGCGGAACACAAATTGAGCTTGCTGCATAAATATAACAAATCGATTTTCGTTGTCAATTGTGAGTGCAAATTGAGTTGCTGCCAAACGGCCAATACTAGTGTCGAACCAAAAAATCATGGGTCATGCTACATTTACACCAAAAATTGTATCCCATTTGTACACCGCAGTTATACACAAACATTTTGATTGTTTACACCGACACAAGTGTTGGTGTGTTAACAAAAATTTACACGGACACAAAGTGTTGGTGCGTTAACAAAAATTAGTTTTACACTAACACAAAATGTCGGTGCAAACCTGCGGTATACAAAATAGGGTACAAAAATTTGGGGTACAAATAACCTTATCCAAAAATCATTTTAAGGGAATTAAAGTCTATTTGGAAAGAGATGGGCAAAAGTGGGGTGTCATTAACTTTCCCAATATATATACTCCCTTAATTACGAAAGTGGATAAGAATACTCATTTTCAAGCAACTGAATGCTTTTTACTAATTAAATACTCATTTTTTAGAAATTCAGTTATGCTCGAATACAAATATTTAGTTATTCGAAAGTGAATATCTTATAACTCGAAAATGAGTATTCATGCAGATGTGTGGGAAACACTGTACATCCAGATGTATGACATAGGCACTCATTATTTTTAATAGAGTGTAGATATCAATTGCCATAATTAATATTTTTACTTCTTTTTTAATAGAAATTACTCTAAATAGAACTAAAACATAGAGAAAAGTACCAAAATAGGACTTTTACGTTTTTTTCTCGAAATAGGACTTTGCACTGTGAAAATGTGACATTGTACATGTGCACATTACTATATTTTTTTTGGTAATGTACATGACCATGTTTGGTAATGTAAGTCCTATTTCGAGAATAAAAATATGGAAGTTCTATTTCGGTATATTTTTAATGTTTTAGTCCTACTTTGATCTTTCTCCGTTTTTTTAAAGAAAATGCAAAATTAAATTTCATAAATGGTTCTCAATTATACGTACTATTTTATATTTAGTCCCCAATTATATAAGATATTCCATAAATAGTCATCACTTTTTGAAAACTATTCTACAAATAGTCCTTTTTCACCAAATATGATAAAATATATTGAGTAAATTCTCAAAATGGTCCTTTCTAATAAGGTTTTTCCCAAAGCAATCCTCAATAAGTAAAAATTACTTACATTGTCCTTTATAATTGAGATATATTTTCTAAATAGTCCTTTATAAAAAATGCATATTAAATGAAAGTTAAATAGAGGATATTTTGATGCTCTTTATTATCTAAACTATGAATAAGTCTTCAAAAGGAATTTTTAAAAAAATTAAGTGGGAGGCTTCTAATAAAAAGTAATTACCAACAAGGTCTTTTATAATTTAGATTTATTTCCTAAATGGTTTTTGCCTAAAATATGTATTAAATGTCAGTCAATTAGAAGGTCTTTTGATATTTCCTATCATCTAGACTTTAAGTATGTTCTCGAAATGCCCCTTTATAATTAAGTATTTTTCCAAACTGATAATTTTTAAGTAAACATTTTTTCGAAATGGAGTTCATGAGCCAACTCAAGGTGGGTCTCTTCCTCTAGGAGCCTCCTACTTAATTTAAAAAAATTATTTTGAGGACTTATTCATAGTTTAGATAATAAAGATCATCAAAATACCCTCTATTTAACTGTCATTTGATAGACATTTTTTATAAAGAACTATTTAGGAAACACATCTCAATTATAAAGGATCACGTTAGTAATTTTTGCTTATTGAGGATTACTTTGGAACTATTTAGGAAACATTATTTTTAGAGTTTATTCAAAATATTTAGTCATATTTGGTGAAAAGGAGTATTTGTGGAATAGTTTTCAAAAATTGAGGACTGTTTGTTGAATATCATATAATAGAGGACGAAATATGGAAAATTACATATAATTCGGGACCATTTATGAAAGTTACTCTTGCATTTTTATCCTTTAAGCCAATGCGTGATGCACGACTAGTCATCCAACTCAGACAAATCTATTAATAGTCTTCAAATCGTATTAGCATTGCACATTTGGTTTTTCTGTTAACATTGTCGTTAGTCCCTGCAATTTTTTATTTTAGTTTCTATTATAAATACATGTGAAGAACTCTCTCTTCTTCATATAACAATTTAGTCATATTTGGTGTTGATTCATTTTAAGTAAAATTATAAGTACACCCTGATTGAATGCAAAAATCAAAAATTGATAAAAACTTGAAGACAAAATGAGTATTTAAAAAAAAGTAAATTCCATAAATGATCTTCAATTACAGGTCATTTTCTATATTTAGTTCCTGATTTTTAGATATTCTATAAATGGTAATGAATTTTGGAAAATTATTTCATTAATAGTCCTTTTGGCCAAAAATGAGAACATATTTTTTCCACAAATAGTCCGTGAATGACTGATTATGGAATAATTTTCAAAAATTGAGAATCATTTATGAAACATCTAAAAACTGGGGACTAAATATTAAAACACTTGTAATTACAAACCATTTGTAGAATTTATTCATTTAGCAAAATTGGACAAATAAAATAGGGGTACACCATACTAGCTCAACCAATTTTTAAGAGACAAAACCTCTTCCATAAAAAAGAACTGAACATAATAAAAATCAGCCAAAGACCTGAATTTTCTTCCTCAAGACTACTCATGCACACATACAATTTATACTCCAACCAAACTTATCGAGAATCTGAAATATGATTGAACCCCAAACGACAATCTTGAAGGGTACATAATCCAAACCCCACACAACAGACCAATGTCCAATGTCAATGAGTTGGGAGTCAAAATCAAGCAGTGAGTATGACTTAGAATGACACTTTCAGAAAACATTCACTCAACACTAGAACCAAAAGCTAACTGAAAAAGTACTTGTTCAACACAAGTTAAAGAACAAAACCAAATTATAAAAAAATTAAGAAACTTAAAAAAACAAGGAATTAAAGATAGGAAGAGGGAACGGATACAAGATCCGAACACCAATAGGGTAATTACCCTTGGATCCACAACAATAATATTCAAAAATAAAGTAAAAAGTAAGATTTGCACTAAATAGGATTAAAACATAATGACTTTCCCAATGTAGGACTTAAACTCTTTTATTCCCTAAATAGGATTTAATAATGACCTAGTGGGAGGAATAATGTCCGTTATTGATGGACATTTACTTGAATAATGACTACTTGATAATGACCAAAAGTCCTACATTGAGAAATAAAAACATATGGTTATATATTGAGAAAGTCATTATGTTTTAGTCCTATTTAGGTAAATTTCTCAAGTAAAAAGTGATCATATGAATATATTTTGTAAACAATGCCTAGGATGCAAATATGATCATTTAAGTGTAAAAATGCATTTTTAATGCCAAAAAAAATACTGATTTAATAGAGACTTGTTTCCCATGGGTGGAATTATACCCTTATGAGGCGTGCTTGTAAGTAAAGGAGGTGGCTGAGATGTGTTGTGCCTACCCCACACGTCTTTTATTGGCTTGGGTGTTTTGGATTCTAGTTTTTACCCATATCCATCCGGATAAGCACGATGTGAATCTGCTCCTACATGGCCCACCTCTATGGTCGGAGCAGTAGCAGAGAGGTTTTCCGACCCTGGTTTCCGGCAATCTCTGGTTGCATGACCAAATTTGAAACAAGTTGAGCAGTATGGGGGATGGCCCTTTTGAAGTAGCAAAGAGGCCATAAATCTTTTGCACCTAGTCGGACATGGATTGTGGGAGGTTTGGAGATAGATAAGTCCATCTAATAGAATTTAGTATGGGTATGGACAACTGGACTAGGGTATAAGACACTTGGATTGAACCACATTAAAAGCACCAATGACAGAATTTAAGGGTTTCCCCAAAGTGGATGATATGGAAAAAAGGGCACGCACGACGATCATTAAGATGAAGAGGAAGGTTCCTTACCTCCACCCAAACTGGAATAACCGGAGACTATCTATGGAAGGTGAGTGAGTGCTCCGTCGTCCACTTAGAGATAGTGATGATGCAGCAGCCTTTGACGGTCAACCTGCGCATGTGAAACGAACGAAGATGATACGGGCCTCAACCCTGAAGTACCACCCGAAGACGAAGATCACGACCCGTCCGTCTCAGCCGCTCCGGGTCGTCCAAAGCGGGCTGTTCGTCCGCCAAGAAAGTATCAAGATTATGTTTGATTATTTTCCGTCATTATCTTTTAATTATTGTATTTGGATTTTTTCTAGGTGAGCATAATTATAAGCTTCTTATAGAGTTTCTTTTCGGTTCTTTACCTCGTCGCTTTTCTTGAACCGACAGGATAGATAACATAGTTTTACTAGGATTGGGAAACCTTCTTCTAAATAAATAAGAGGTATTTATATACACCTCATGCATGATCATCGATAAAGAAGTTCCCTACTCCCTAAACTACTTCTCTCTCTAAACTCTCCCTCTCTCCTTTGGATTACACGAAACCCAAGGGGATTTGGCCTCTCTCTCTCCCAAACTTTGCCGCTGGTTTCTCCTTCCCCAGGCTACGCCAGTAGCTGCCGGCCGACCGGTACCAACTCGGTATCAAATAATCATCTTCGTGCTTGAAGATGAAGATGATTTCTTTTGAAGAAAGCCACCGCAGTTTAAACTCTTTAGAGCCACCTTTGACAAGGAAATCTTCAACCGCCGCAAGAGAGATATGCGAGGAGCTTATCCCAATAACTGTGTGTGAGAGTTTACCAGCAAGAGTACATTCTTCCTCTGCAGAAAAACATTATGGATGGGGAACCTTTGTGGAAACCGCATGACTCACTCGGAGGTTGTTGAAATCATCTTTTAGTCCGAGAACAAATTTTTCTTGGGTAGATGGATGTGGGTGACCAATTATTCCAGCGGGTTTCCGACTGTCATAAACCAGGAGAGAGAGCCATATATATATATATATATATATATATATATATATATATATATATATATATATATATATATATATATATATATATATATATATATATATATATATATATATATATATATATATATATATATATATATATATATATATATATATATATATATATATATATATATATATATATATATATATTCCCTCCGTCCCAGTGTATTTGTCCAGTTTGACTTTTCCGAGTCAAACTGGACAAACTTTGAGATTCAATTAAATATAAATCGTAATGTATTTTAACATAAAAATGACTTTATTGGATTTATTGTATTGAGAACTTTCAAAATTGTATTTCATTATGCTAATATGCAATATAAATTGAGAGTAATTGGACTTTAAAGTTTGTCCAATTTAACTCGAAAAAGTCAAACTGGACAAATACACTGGGACGGAGGTTGTGTGTGTGTGTGTGTATTTATTTATTTATCTATGTGTGTGTGAATATTAGTTTACATCACTTTAATATTCTACACCATCATATTTTCTATGTGTATGACCCTATTCTAGATACTCATAACATTTTTAATAGTATTGATTAAATACTATAAGTGATAAGAGGTATTTAGTAAGACATTATCACTCACAAAGATATTACAATTTTAATTAGAAAGGATAAATTCTATCTATGTCGTTCACATCCTCACTTAAGTCTGAGTACATGCCCCAAAACATAAATGTACCTCTACTAATATTTCAAGTGACATTAGGCATGATTCAATTCAAAGCATACGGTTCAACTTACAAAGGATCGTAATGACTTCAAGTCGAATGATAGTCATACTAATAGTCGAATGAGAGTATTACTAACACGTTATCACAATGTCCATGTAACACCATAATCCATCCAGGTCTGCAGCCCCTTTCGAGATAAAGTATTAACTTGGTAATCGTAATAATTTAAAACTTTTCAAACACTTTTTATTTATCACAATAATTTTTTTCATAACAGATACAGTACGGAGTATTCAACAATATTGCGGAAGTGAATTTAATATTGACATATCATAAATTGTTTCAAAACTTATCACATCCATCCCGACAATCTCGCCCATCTACCGCCAGCATAACATTATTCTTTCTGTTTACCTGCGTGTAGCAAATAAAACACACCACATGCTTAGCAGTAAAGCTCAGTGAGCATATCTAATGCGTCGAACATCCATATAAACTGAATCTAAATTCATAATCAAATCATTTGATATCATGCAAATGATGTTCAATTCATAATTTTGATATTGTTCAGTTCATATCAACATATTTTATTCAATTCAGATATGGAATATTATTTCGACAGTGCTCATAAATTATTCTTAATCTAAGGTCAAATAATAACAACACTCTTAGTTTTTCTTAGTCTAAGGCCATATCATAACAATGCTCTTAGCTATTCTTAGTCTAAGGCCAGATCATATCAATGCTTTTAGTTATTCTTAGTCTAAGGCCAGATCTTATTTTTCATAACCAGACTCTTAAAAAGACAATTAATTATTAGACACTTAAATTATCATTAGTTTAAGGAAAATGATTTCGGACACTTAACTGTAGACAGTTTATGCAATTAATAATTAGACACTTAAACTATTATTAGTTTAAGGCAAATGATTTCAGACACTTAACTGTAGTCAGTTAAGGCAACAACAATATAGCGATTGATCAACGTTGGATCGGGGCATTCCCAAACGAGTGATCCTCTAGTTTGGTCTACGAATCCCATTTATGCGTTTTTATCTAATTCATCAAATGTTCATGTTTTCATAAGTCTATTCTAATACAAGATCTATTCTAGAGGTCTTCTAGATAGCCTTAACATCAATTAACTAATGGGTATATATCTTAGAGTTCTTCTAGATACCGTTAACGATACAAATCGTTTAATAATTATCAATATATTTATTTTACTCATAGTTCAATCATCAATAATCATTTTAATCAGTAAGTTCATCATTCATAATCATCCATAATAATCATTCATCATAATCATCAATCAGCATAATAATTGATAACAAATAGCGGTCTAGTTTCGAGTATTAACACCCGAACTTACCGTCATGCATCACATAACATTTTTATTTGTTAAAAATATCATTTTTATTGTGAAAAATCATTATTATAATGTTCATAATCAATTGGTATCAAAAATAGGATTTTAGAGCTCAAATATAGCATTTTCAGACAAATTTTCGGATCAGAATTTCGGGGGATCGATCCAGTGCATTTGATTGATCATTGATAGAAAAATTATGCCCAAGGGATCGATCCAAGAGGTATGATCGATCCTCTCTGCATATTTTTGAGCACTGTTCATCTTCTTCAACCTTCGGGTCCAATTTCGAAAATACCATTTTTTGTTACCGAACTTCAACGAAACTATATAGAGATGTTCTCGAAGGTTCATAGATCATTTTGGCATCATTAATTCATAGTTTTAACATCAATTTCATGGTTTATGATTCTTTGTTCTTCAAGCACGTCAAACACAAAACTCAACCAAACGACCGTTTATGAACGTAGAAATGATCTATACGAACATTCTAGTTACTAGATATATCTACGGGCTTAGCTCGAATCTTAATGAAACTTTTGGAAATTTTCCGGCGAAACTTCCGGCGAGGTTTGTAGCTAGCTCCGGCGACCTCTCACCAAATTGATAGCACCACTGCACTCCTCTCTCAACAAAGAACAAAATAGAATAAAGAATGGAGAGGTTTGGTTAAGAAAACAAGGAGCTTGGGTTTTCTTATATAGGGATGATGATGGATAAGGAGCCAAATTTACGTTGCTTCCTTTCCCAGTGTAATAGGCTGAGTGGAGTGAGCGGCAATTTGTAGGACTTTACACGCCCCTCTCTGATTGGGACAAATTTGGTCCCAATCGGGGTACACTTTTTGGTGCAACTTTCTCCGAATTGAATTCTGTTTGCACCGTCGCGTCTAGACAATTAAACTCTATCCAACGATATAATTTTTATATTTATCTGTATTACTTTTTCCGACATCATATTATTGGGTGTTTGACTTTGACAGAGTCAAAATTAGTTTATTTGACCTTTATTCAAAAAGGTTCTCATATTTAATTCATATTATTTATTCTCATGATTTATTTCAATAAATAAATTCAAAGCTCACATCATAAATAATTTATTTATTTATTCTTGATTTGAGTTGGTACTCAGGTTCCCAATCAAGACCACACAATAGTCAATATATTAGATTTATCTCTATGAGATTTATCCTGCTTGTGATATTGAATATCAAAACACATTTTATTTCGGACCAAAGCCCAACAACAATTTATTTTAATCAAAACAAATTTGATTAATCGAATAATTATTCATTAATAATTCTAGGGTATGTTTTGGGGCGTTATAGTCCATGTAGTATTCTCATAGCGGGACAATCTAGTAACATATCCCATTATATGTACTTACGTATAGATTGAGATACCTCGTTATCTAAAGCATATGAAACGAAGATATCATATCTCATACATATTGGTCTTAATTTCTTATGACGTCTCTATTATCATAATATTTGACTAAGAATATTTTAGACATAGCCTCTATCTTTGTAACAACATCATAATCAAAACATCGTAGTTCTAATGTATGTTACCAGGGCACTAAGTCTATAGAATAAATCCATGTTTAAATTACACGAGACAATTTTAAAAAATCTTTAGAACTTATTATTCCTGATGTAATTCAGATATAGAATTATAAGTTCACCCCTAGGACTCACCTATATTCATCAGTTTAAAGTCATGTGGTACCTATTGTGGCTAATGGCTATTCGGGTAGAAAACGTACGTACGGAGATCAAAATAGGTGAATTTTTTTTGTTGAGATTTATGGAGAATATACCTATTCTATTCCTTTAAAAGAATGGAGAGATTATTTTAGAATAACCCAAAAAGAAAAGTGAGAAGATTAATTGTCATAGACCCTATTCTTTTGAGTTGGAATTTTAGAGTTGGATGTTGGATGAAATTGGAAGTAGTTGGAAGAAACTGAAAGGAGTTAGAAATTAGAAAACACTAGAAAGAATTGGGAAATGTTAGAAGAATTAAAGGTTTAAAAAGTTACTCAATTGAATGATCATATAAATAAATATGTAAGAAAGCTCTAATTTCAGATAAAAAATAATTCATTCTTATCCATATTTGAGGTGAAATGTTATAAATTTGCAGATATAATGTTATTCTATATTAATAATATGTAAATACCCTTTTTAATTCTGTATTAATAATATGTAAATACCCTTTTTAATGTTATTCTATATTAATTCTATATTAATATATAATGTTATTCTATATTAATAATATGTAAATACCCTTTGGAACGAGTTTAAAAAAACTTAGAAGTTAATTTTTTCAACCCAAAAGAGCAAGGTCTAAAACACTAGATAAACTGCCAACTAAATAAACCTTGTTAAGCATAATTATGAAAGGTGGGTATAAAACACTAAATACAAGGTCTGTATACACTACCAACTAAATAAACCTTGTTAAGCATTTATATAGAATTATCAAAAAGCATATGAAACATATTTAGAGTGCAAGAGAATACAATCACGCTATCAATCACTTGGAGGGGGACGGTGTGTCTTCAATACTCACTCTGTCCTTGCCATGTAGGGTCATGCCGGCTCGATAAGGGAAGTACTACGCAATGTTTTGAAAACTAGACCAAACATCGAACCAGACTAGCCACTGGGTCAAGGATCAACCGGTCGAAGCAGGCATATATAGGTCAACGACCTGATAAATGACCCATAGCTTGGTATATAATATTCATATTTATGTTTAGATAATAGAAAATTAAATAATGTCATGTTTTGTGAACTATTTTTAACGATATAAAATATTATTACATAACATAAATATGCCTATTATTTCTAAATAATAC